CTCTCGGCCCCCCCGGGACAAGGGGGCTCCTCTCAGGTCCTGCCTGGGACAAGGGGGCTCCTCTCGGCTCCCCTGGGACAAGGGGCTCCTCTCGGCTCGCACCAGCCCCGGCCAGGCCCCTGGCTCCAGCCCTGGTGCCCAGGGCTCCACGGGCGCCGGGGGAAGCGCTCTGCAGCGTCTGCTCGCCCCGTTTCCTCTCACTCCACAGCGGGACGCCGGGGAGCAGCCCCTCGGCCCTGCCCTCGTTTCCATGGCCCCTCGGCCTTCAGGAAAGGCAGGAAGCAGCAGGACAAACAGCAGGGCCCTTTCCTGCCTGCAGCACGTGCAAACGCTTCTCCCTTTTCTGCACTGCCCCCAGCAGCAGACCCCAGCCCCAAGGCTGCCCCGCAAGGGCACCCTGGGCTCCCCTGCCCGAATATGCGGAAACTCGGAGGCCGGGGGGAGCTCCCTGCTTTTCCTGGCCCTTAGCATGGACCACCCAGCCCCTCCTTTATACTCAGCCATCTTGGCCCTTTGCAGCAAACAGCAGAAGCTGCTCCACAAACTGCATGAGCCAAGAGCTGCTGCTAAGGAGCAAAGAAGATCCAGGACCCACCTCCCTATCCATGAGGGAGGGGAGAAAGGGTCTCATTACAGGCAGTGAAGAGATATGGAAATAAAGGACACACAGAGGTGCTTTTGGTGCCTTTTTTTTTTTTTTTTAAGAAAGGACTAATAATAAATAATGAGAGAGGTTGACATGATAGTGCTTCGCCATGTGCTGAAGCCACCAAAACAACCTGGCTCCTCCAGGCTGCACAGCAGCAAGAGCCTTGCTGTAGTTGTGGTATCCTGGGCACTTCAAGCCATCCAAGCTTTGTACCCACCCCTTGCAACCTCCCATCGCTGCAGCAGGCTGCATGTCACCGAACTGCTCAAAACAGCAGCCCAAGGCACTGAGAACATCTCCCCAGCACGTCAGACCCCTCCAGGGATGCAGGGACCTTCCCCGCAGCTCTGAAGCACCAGGGCTCAGACAGCAGTGTAAGCA